TCTGAAACTGTTAGGTTATTTTTCCAGGAGATATTTTATCTAACAGGAAGAAAAATGTACTCTGCTAAAATAAAATGTTCCCTGCAGGACTCCAGTTTCCAGCTATTGTTAAAGTATGTGGTGGAGAGCTGGGAACCCTGTGGCCAACAGGGAGCTGGAATGAGTTGAAAAGAGGAGAAGGATGTGCTCTGCAAAGAACAATGTTCGGTCCACACTAACAGCACAGAAAAAGAGAAGATTGGCTGCAGGATACAGAGAGGCCCCAAGGAACAGGGATGAGCAGCCAGATCTAATGCTGATAGCTGTGAAGTGGCCCAGGGCTGTCTTCTATATAACATTGCTGGAATTCCTACAGTTTGGGAGTAGCCCCTCTGGAGTACTAAATAACTTGGTGTGGAGTCATCCTAGACCCCTCAGTGAGGACTTGTGGCATTTAAAAGAAAAATGAGTTTTTAGGAGGTTGAAGGACATTTGAAGTGCAGGGGGTAAAGGAGTTGGCAGTCATGTGCTGGTCATCTGCTTGCTTCAGCATAGAGGGAAATATGAAAGTATGACTGGGATAATCAAAAGCATGGAGAAATCTCCTTTGAAGAGAGATGAAAGCAAATGGGACTGAAGTGAAGCTGAGTAAGAGGTGCTTCCACAGACATGTTTCAAAGGAGGAGAATGCTGGGCAAAGCTGAGCAAGAATTGCTCTTCTTCTTAATTCCCCCGTGTGTCTGTCTGTGACATGAACAAGAGGGGAAGGAGATCCCATAAAAATGTTATTATTATTTTTATTATAGTCATCATCTTAATTTAAATCATGTTTCATTATGGAACTTCATTGTCTCGAAAAGTAATTCAATGTTAACAGTTTGGATGGTGACTTGACGCATGTAATTACCAAACATTAACTTCATGTATGACAACAAATTTACAAGAAAGAGAATTAAACCTTGTGATTCAGAGCTTAAGTTAATCTCTGACTTCTGAAGATTGGATGAATCAGGGTGAACGGGACCAGAGAGCCTCAATCCACTGCTGTCTTGCACAGGGACATGTCCTACCTTGAAACCACAGAGTGTCCCACTGCTGAAACAGCCCTGCAAGGGCCTCACTCATGTGAGAGCAGCAGCTCCTTCCACCACTGAACATTCACACAACTTCCCCTGCTGCAGTAACTGTGCAGAAAAGCTCCTTGCCCCTTCCTGATGCCCACCTCTCCTTGTGGGACAGCTCCAGCCCCGCTAATGTAGCATCCCAAAGCCTCCTGTCCCTACAGCCCTTCCACAGCTGGGATCCATCTTCTCTCCTGCTAATGGTGGAACTTCTTGTTCCTTCTTGCCTGAGTCAGTGGTGCTATTAACAGAATGTGTTGTGCTAGAGAGATGCATTCTGCTGCTTTGCAAAACAGAAAAGCACATATTCCCCCATGGAGGGCTTCAGGGTTGCATAAACACAGGGTGGGGCAGATTTCTGGGAACATCATAGACGTGAGGGTGTGGGCTGTAAATCAGGAGAGCAATCAGCACATGGGACCTGGGCAGGCTCTCAGAGTCCTGCCAATGGATCATTCAGGCAGAGAAGAAAACTTAGGATGGTTAGTCCAAGCATCACTGCCTGCAGAGTAGAGTGGAGAGGTTTTTCTACTTCTTTGCATCATTCAACCCAAATTCTGCTCTGGATAAAGTCAGGGTCACACAGCCTGGGTCATGTTGTGTCAGTGCTGCCACTGCTGTGAGCAAGAGGCCAGCTGAGACAACAACACAATAAAAACCTTCCAGCAAAGGGGCTGTAAATAACAGAGCTAAATTGCTCCCTGCTTTCCAGGCTGATTGTGGGCAGGGTGTTTTCAGCATTGCTAGTGAGGGATGTTTATTAACAACATCAGAATCAAAACCAGACCACCTGGTTTCACCAGGTAAAAGAGCACCTTTTGGCCTAAAAGGAAGCCCAAAAGATTTGTTGTTCATGACTCGGTGCAGGAAAAAGGGAAAGTTTCAGGATGTGTCTGGACCAATGACACATGACTTGACTCATAAAACCTCAAATTACTGAGCAGCTCTGACTTCTGCCTGAGTCAGGTCTTGTGGGAAGGATGTCCTGATCTGCTCTAGGAAGCTCAGTTGTCCCCCAGGACATTACAAAGTGCCACTTACAAGATTGGAGTGTGTGCTAAAGAGACCTAGACAATGTGACCTACACAGGAGGGTGGGAGGAAATGCTGCTGTTTAATCTGGGGGTGATGAAGGGAACACAGAGAACTCAGGGGGTTGAAAATAAGCTCTGTGGTTTGGAAAGCTTTGTGGTGGGTGAAGCCCTGTGGCAAAGCCATGAATGAAGGCACTCCTTGGAGCTGGTTTCACCAGGATGGTGTAGCCACTCAGCTTGGGCCAGGATCAGGCAATGATGTGTTCACCTTTCCATTCCCTCTTGTCCTGTGAGAACTTGAAAATGCCTATCTGGTGAAAACAGGGCTTAAAAGACTTTAAAATTAACAAGCTCAGCAACCTGTTCTTCCTGGGTTACAAGGCAGGGTTAACAGCCCAGGAAATAAAAGGTTTGTTTTCTACTTTGCACCTTGAAGCTGCTCATTGCTGTTGAATGTCAGGTCTGGAAATAAGGCTGGACTCAGGGACCACAGTTGCTTCCTCTTCCAGCCCTGTTAGTGAGCCAGGGCTCTTAATGCTGTGATTCCCATGCCCTGATTCCCATCTCCCCATAACACAGCATGTGGAGGCTGGATTATGCAGCTTCCTTTACCTTTGCTCTTGTTTCAGAGCACCCCAGCAGGGAATCTGCATCTATGTTGTAGTTTTGCAAATTCTTGAAGTCTAGGAAATGTTCCCAAATTCTGACATTTTTGGCAGTAATTTGTTCCTCTACTCTCCCAATCTGGCAGGGAAACTCCCTGTTTTTGGGCAGTAACACAAGTGTTTTTTGCCTGTTGTTTACAGCTGATGGGATCTGGTTCTTGGGAAGCAAAACACATCATGAGATGCTGGGGTGTGGCTGAGTGAGAGGGAGGCACAGCTCCCCCACACCCCGAGCCCTGACCCCATCTCCCACCTTTACCTGGTCTCAGCAGTGGCAGGTGCAGCTCTGCCTAGAGCCAGCACCTAAACCAGCTGGGACAGAGGGAGAGAACAGGAGAGAGGAGAAATAACTTCCCTCAGCCCCTCTCCCAGCAGGGTTTCATCCCTGAAGGCACAGAGCAGCCTAGCCAAGGAATTCTTTCCTAAGAGAAAGCCCAGGCATGAATCCATGTGAGGCTCAGAACATGAGAAAATAATCTACTTGCACACACCCACAGCCTGATGGCCTCTTTTCCAGCATCTCCAGTGTCACAGCAGCAGAGGGGACAGTGACTCCTCTGCAGCCAGGGTGGGTGTGACAGTTTGGGGCAGGAGCAGCTGGGAGCAGGGCAGCAGCCCAGGAAGGGATGGAGGAGAAGGCAGGAGGACATGCCACTGCTCTGACCTGGCCCTGGGCCTGTTCCCTGGGACTGGCTGAGGAACAGCAGCTTCCTCTGCCCTGCCTGGGACTCAGAGCCACCACAGCCTGCCCCTTCCCTGGGCCTCTCCTGACAGCTTTCTCCTGCTGCAGGCATCTGCTCTTCTGAGTGTGAAGGACATTTTGGGAGAGTCTGATCTTACATTCCTCATGCCTGAGGCCTCTCAGATAGCTGCAGCCAGTACTGTCAACTTCAAAATGCAAAACAGACAAAATCTGCCCAAGTTTACTGAAGGCTGAAGCATCCCAGTTGTTTCCTGAGATGTTGGTTTTCCCCTGCCTGGATTTTGGTAGCAGGGGGGGGTCACAGAGGTGGCTTCTGTGAGAAGGTGCTAGAAGCTTCCCCTGGTGGCTCTGACCAATGGCTTCTGTGAGAAGGTGCTAGAAGCTTCCCCTGGTGGCTCTGACCAATGGCTTCTGTGAGAAGGTGCTAGAAGCTTCCCCTGGTGGCTCTGACCCAATTCCTAATGGCTCTGAAGATGGACATGCTACTGGCCAAGGCTGGGCCAATTAGAGATGATGGTAACACCTCTGTGATAACATATTTGAGAAGAAAATCGAAGCAAAGTGAAGAACACAGTTTTTTCTAGCCAGAGAAGAGGAGGAGGTGAGAACATGTGAGGGAAACAACATGGAGACACCAAGGTCAGTGGAGAAGGAGGAGGAGGAGATTCTCCAGGTGCCAGAGCTGAGATTCCTCTGCAGGCCATGGTGATGACCATGGTGAGGCAGCTGTGTCCCTGCAGCCCATGGGGATTCACAGGGGATGCAGAGATCCATCCACAGCCTGTAGGGATCTATAGGGGATGCAGAGATCCACCCCACAGCCCCTGGGGAAGGTGCCCATGCTGGAGCAGGTGGGTGCCTGGAGGAGGCTGTGACTCAGTGGGAGATCCACTGGAGAGGGGGCCCTCCTTCCAAGAGTGACCCACATTGCAGCAGTTTTGGGAGGACTGTGTTCCCAGGGAGGGACTCACATTGCAGCAGTTTGGGAAGGACTGCTGCTCATGAGATTGGACCCACACTGGAGAAGTTCTCTGTGAACTGTATCCTGTGGGAGGGACCCCACAGTCTCACAGGGGAACAACTTCTCTCCCTGAGCAGCAGAAAAAAATCTCAGTGATGAAATGACCAAAACTGCCATGTTCTATCTCCCTGCACTGTCAGTTGGAAGAAGAGAGGAGTTGGGGAAGAAAAGGTCTTTTTAAGGGCTTATTTCACTTCTCATTATTCTCCTCTGATTTTGTTAGGAATAAATTCACTTCATACCTCTACGCCAGACCTATTTTGCCCTTGGAGTTTTTTTTCCCAGTCTTTATTTCGACTCATGAACCCTTTGTTAATTTTCTCTCTCCTCTCCCAGCTGTGGCAGGGGAGGGCAAGTGAGAGACTTTCATGGGTGCCTGGAGTTTGGCCAGTGTCAAACCACAACAGATGCCAGTGCTGGGGGCCAGAGATGCTGATGGTTCCACTGCTTACTGACTTTACAGTATCTTCTGTGTCCTGCTTGCTGAAACAAGCATGAGGAGCCCAGGAGTCTGGGGATAGGGAGCTGCAGGTGAAGCAAGAGGATTTCACAGATCCACGGAAGGTGCGTCATGGTGGTGGGAGCTTTCGTGCAGACTGAGGAGGGAAGGCAGGTGGAGCACCCTTCTCACTAATAAACAGCTAAAACACTCATGCCTTTACTTGAAAAGTCACCGTGTTTGATGAGCCAGCACTGCACAGCCTCCCTTGGCAGCTGGGTTCCCAGGATGGGTGCAGGTGATCACTGGAGTGTGCAGGTTCCAAGGGTTTGTGCTGGGAGCAGCAGGGAGAAATGGCAGGGCAGGAGGGCACCAGTGCCCAGGGTAGCATTGGAGCAAGCTGGGCATGGAGCTCAGCTCCTGGGCTGAGCTGTGTGCCCAGGGCAAGCAAAATCCCAGCTGGGCTCTGCACCTCCTCCACCAGCATGCTGGAGAAGTGCCACCCACCTGCCCATCTCCTCCAGCCTGGAGCAGTCTCCCCTCGGGCTCTTTGCTTAGCCCCAGCTGTGGGATGTAATTGCTCAAAGTAGCTCTGGGATCAGGGTGGAGCCCAGGCTGTGCCACCCCAGCGGACATGCCAGTGCTTCTCTGAGCCAACCCTCTCCCTCTGCTGCCACCTGGAAATTCCCCAGAGGAGCAAGAGTGGAAAAATGTAGTCACAATACTCCAGCGTAATTCAGCTGGTCAAATAAATAACCTGTGTGGGAATTGAGAGTGATTTTTATTTCATAACCTTGCCAAAGCAGAATCACTTTTACAGGCTTCTATTTTTAAGTACTGTTCTCAAGCATTTCCCATTATTCTTTCATTCCTTCTGCTTCCTACAGTTCAGTTCCTCCTCCAGCAAAATGCTGCATTTTTTCCCTACAGCTCCTGGGGTCAGTCTAACCTGACAACCTAATCTTTCTAAGCCTCATGCAGATTTTTATTAATCATTTCTCAGAAAAAAAAATGCAGTGTTTTTGGCTAGTGGTGTTGGGTTTAGGTAGATCTTGTCCTGGGTCCTTGAGACCTCTCATGCTCTAGGTTTTAGGGCATGACTTGCAGTTTAAAGACATATTGCTGTTAGGACCTGGCCTTCTTGAGGGAAGGGCTCTGTGCTGGCAGGATGTGATCTGTGGAGGAGGATCAAACATGAATATTAACAGCCTGCTTCCGCATGGATTAATGGGATGCTTGAACATGCTTCAGCTGCTGCGCTGCCTTGGGTCTCAAAAGCCAGGAAGGTGCAAGTGTGGATGTGTTCTACCCAGCAGGAGAGCCCTGAACCCCGTAAACTGAAAAGGAGCTGGGATCCCAGGAGCATTACACTTGCCTTTGCAGTCATCTGCTGCTCCTCATCCCCATCCATAACCCTCCCCTCTGGAGTTCCACTCTGTGTAACACTAAAAGGGGTTTGAACTCCATAAACACACAGAAAAAAAAACTTTTTCAAAATTAACACATCCACACCTTGTTTAGGGATAATCCCTTGGGGCTTATCCCTAAACAAGGTGTGCTTCCTGCTCTCTCTGTTCAATGTAAATTTGTGCCAGTTGCTGGTGCAAATTGTCCAGGGCTCCCTGCCAGTGTTTGAACAATGCCAAGGAGGAGAAGTCTGGCTGGCTGGCAGGAGGAGTCCTGGCTTGTCTGCAGGTGCATATTCCTGCTGCTCAGCGAGGTGTTGGCTGCCTTGGGAGGGGAAGAAGGTGCATGAAGGAAAAAGGTCCCACTGCTGAAGACCCTGTGGACTAGATCATCAGCTGGTAAAAACTGGAGCTGCTGGATGGAGGGTTAGGGTTAGTGTTAGGGTTAGTGTTAGGGTCTGGCTGGCTGCCCTCTCCCAGGCTCCTGGGAGAAAGGGTTGCTGGAGAATGTCTCATCCATGCTGTGGGGCTGGTCTGGCCCTGCATGACCCCAATCCTTGGGCACTGAGGTCTTGAGATCTTCTCTGCTGTGGGTTGATCCCTATCAGGTGTGGAGAGGAGGGATGGGAGGAATAGTGTTTGGGATGTGGCTTTGCCACTCCTACTTACACTTGGCATTGTGGTGTTTATAGTACCCTGCTGAGCTCCAGGGGTGCATGGGTGGGTTTGGGGGTAGTTCACTGGTGAGCATCTCAGCTCTTAGCACAGAGCCTGGATCCACATGGCTGCTGCATGTCCTGGTGTTCTCACTCCCACCCAGGGAAGCAGCCTGCCAGAGGCTGCAGAGCTCCACACTGGGCTGTGCCAGGACTTGTTCTGCAGCCTCCCCAGTGCCAGGGTGCTGGTGACCAACTGCAAGTACCTCCCTCTTAAAACCAAGTGCTTGTGGTTTTCAAAGGCTTCCTGCGCTGCTAAAAACATAACTCTAAGGCCCTGTGCCAGGGGCACCAATAGTCTGTGAACTATAGGTCTGGTCACATTCATAAGAGCCAGCTGGGTTCAGGAGTAGCACAATTTATTGAATGTAACATATATGGATTTTTTGGATTGCCCATGACAAATGCCTGATCTGCAGAGTGGCTTTATAGAGCACTGACAATACAATGGCAATCACAATCTTAATTTCCCAGGTTAACACTCTGAGGACACAAGACTTGACCCTTGTGGGGTGGGAGAGGACAAATCTGTCAAACTGTTCCTGGAATTTCATGTAAAATTCTTGTCTGCCAGCTAGATATTAAACTGGCCAGCTTTTGCATCTTATTAACCACTATGGTGCAAAATGCTGCCAATAGTGATCAAATCTTCTGTTATTTGTGGGTTTATTGTACAGAATATTTATTGGTAGGAGGTTTTGGTTTGTCAAAACTTTTCTGGGTATTGGGTAATAAAACTAGACCACATGGCCTCCACTGCACATTCACCCCCATGCCATGGCAACACAAATCACAGGAGCTACATCCAGTTCCTATGCTTGCACTGCAGGTCCCATTGCACGTCCAGCTTTGCCTTTTCTTCACTGCTTTGTGCTTCCATGCACACACTCAGATGCCATGAGGCTGAGCCAGAGCATTGCATGGAGCAGTGGAGTGTCTTTGGGTTTGCAGCACCAGGGCAGAATGGCCATGAGGAACATTCAGAGGCAAATGCAGAGAATTTTATATTTTCTTGTTTTGTTTGGTTTGGTTTTTTTTTCCCTGTGTTAAGGAAATGAATACCAAATCCAGCCCTTCCACTCTAATAAACTTGGAGAGCTCCTGTCAGTCCCCATGCCTCTGGCTCCCTGGGGTTTGCAGCTGCCAGCACTGGGGGAGAAGGAGTTAACTTTGCATTAAATAGCAGCCCAGCTGCCTGCAGAGGCACCAATCCCACTCTTTAGCCCACAATATTTCATGGCTGATGAAAAGCCAGCTCCAAATTCACATGGCACTTTTTAAACCAAGGACAATATTCCATCTTGGCTGCCTTGGTTCAGAACGAGCTGCCTTGGGGCTGGGCCGGCAGCTCTTCACTTCTGGCAGTCTCAGGGCTTTGGGACGTGCCTGACTGGGTTCCAGGCTGGTCATTGCCGGGGCTCCCCTCCCGGGGCGAGCCCTCCTGCGAGGGACAGCCAGCTCTGTCCCCTGTCCATCCCTCGCAGGTGGATCTGTGGGCAAGGCTTGGCTGCCTCTGCCACAGGAGTGAGCGCTCAGCCCCGCTGGGCGGGACGGAAAGCGCAGGAGCAGCGCAGGGCTGCAGGCGGCTGGGAGAGGCGCTGACCTCGTTCCCAACTCCTCCTGCACGGAGGGATCTGCAGGGCTTCGCCCCGGGGTGAGCAGCGCCCGGCTGGGACAGGGATGCTCCGGCGGCTCCGTCCCAGGGGCACCGCGGGGAATGGGGCTGGATTGGGGACGTCGGAGCTGGGGCTGCTTCGGAGAGGTCGGAGCTGGGGCTGGTTCAGAGAGGTTGAGCTGGGGCTGCTTTGGAGAGGTGGAGCTGGGGCTGCTTTGGAGAGGTCGGAGCTGGGGCTGCTTTGGAGGGGTCGGAGCTGGGGCTGCTTTGGAGAGGTTGAGCTGGGGATGGTTCGGAGGGATCGAACTGGGGCTGCTTTGGAGGGATCGAGCTGGGGCTGCTTTGGAGGGGTCGCAGCTCTGTGCCAGGTCCCCCTCCCAGGCGCTGTCTCCTGGCCGGGCAGCCCATCCGCATGGAGCTGCTGGTGGCAGGGTGTGAGCAGCAGAGAATCCTGCTCCATGTGCTGGCTGCGGGTTCCTCGCTGTCCCGGCAGCCTGGCTGGGGGGTTTCGCTGGAAAGTGAAGGATTTGTGTTGTGTTTCAACGCAGCTGTTCCTGCCTCTCCCCTGCGGGGCTCTCTCGCAGCCCAAGGTCTCCCTGGCTTTGGATGCTGAAGCCACCCAGCAGCAAGTTCTCCCAAAATGATGGAAAATAAAGTGTTCCTGTCATTCACGTTCTACAGCACGATTCTGATTTTAAAAATGTATGTCATTGCCATCATTACGGGACAAGTGAGACTCAGAAAAAAGGTAAGATCCAGTCTCATTTTCCTTCTCCTCCCTTTCTGGCTCTTTGCTTGGGTTTCTGTGATTTTGCTTTCTTCTTTTATTCCTCTAAAGTTCAGCAAAACTTTCCTGAAGCAAGCTGAGTTTTCTTTGACTTCAGTTGAAAGCAAAACTAGTTTCATAGCTGCAGCAGATAAATATCTCACATCTCTTTGACCCTTTCTGTTTGTTTCTACCATCTGTGGCTTGATGTTTATGATTTTGGAAACCCAATCTAAATAATAATCAGATCTAAAATGCCAAGCAGGTGAGATGCTTCTAGAAAGAGTCTGTTTACAGTTAATTTGCATGGTCTGGAAAAAAAAGGAGAAGCGAAAAAACTAAGTTTAAGAAGAAATCATTGCAATGGTCTTTTTTCTTGTGATGTAGCAGAAAGTTTTTGGGCTCTTGGAGGCTGACTGGCTAAGGGAACACTCCAGGAGAGCAGCAAGTCATGGGCAATAAAACAATAGCTGGAGGAGATGATCCTTGCTCAGGGAGGAAAATACAGAGAGGACCAGCTGCTGTCAGGAGTTGGGGCCAACAGGGCTTTTACTGCCCTCACCCCAACTCCTGATGAAACCCAGCTTTCTGTAAAATCTGTTTTAAAGTATTTGAGGAGTTTCTGACTGCGTCAGTGGAGAGGGAAGGAGACATTTCTGGTCTCAGATAGAACACAAATACCCTCTCCTGTGGCATCACTGTAACTGATGAATTGTCTTCTCCCCTTGTGATTCTAAATGATGCTCCAGCCCTGCGACAGTTTGGGCTTGTAACATAATTTTAAAAAGCACCAGGGCCCTTTCCAGGCTGTAAAATGAAGCTGTCAGATGTAGCCAGGTCCCTGAGGAACGGCTTCTGAGCATAGGTGAGGAGCTCACACAGATAATTTTCATTTTTAACTTTATTAGTGTAGGATCCCATTTCCCTGTGGGAAAGCCACACAGTGCCACTGCCAAAAAGCCAGCCAGGGAATATTCTCTAATCTGTCAGTCCTGGTTATCTTTTGGAGGCTGCATTGTGTCTGCAAGCTCTCTGCCAGCAGTGCTGGCTGGAAAGTCTCTAAATGGGTTTCATGGATGGGGGTGAGGTAGGAGCTCCCTTGAAACCCTCATTTGGGACCTGCTCAGCAGGCAGCACTGGGATTTTTGGAGGACAAGGAAAACTCCTGGGAGGTGCAGGACAGTGTGCATGGAAGTGCAGTGACCCTCGTCTTTATGAAGAGTGGTAACAAATTTGGGGAGGTAAAATCCCCACAGGACTTCAAGATTAGGGGCAAAGCTTCTACCTGTGAGGTTCCTGAAGGCTGTAAGCAGGTGGGGACTGTCTCTGACTGTCTCTTCCAGGCTTTTGCAAACCCAGAGGATGCCCTGCGCAATGGGGGGCTGCAGTTCTACCGCCAGGACCCTGACGTGGAGCGGTGCCTCAGGTGAGCGGGGCCAGTGTTCCCAGTGCCACCATTCCCAATGCCAGCATTCCTGGTGCTACCATTCCTGGTGCCACCATTCCCTCTGGTGCCGCCATTCCTGGTGCCACCATTCCCAGTGCCACCATTCCCTCTGATGCTACCATTCCCACTGCCACCATTCCCTCTGCACCAGCTGCTGGCAAACAAGAAGTGGGAAGTTAAAGGACTCACTAATTGAGTAATATTCTAGATGGTCAGACTGCCTCGAGCTCTGCTGTGGGACCCTGCTCACGAGAGCAGTTTAATCTTTAGCATGGTGTGCACTGGAGCAAGGATGAGAGAAGGATCTGGGTTTGCATTCAACATCCAACTCTGACTAGCTCTTTTCCAGGTGCTCAAAGTCCCACAGATTCCCAGTGTCTCACCCCATACCCACACTCAAAGGCTCTTTGTGTCCTGCTCTGACAGGACCCCAGGTCCCTGCGGAGCCTGGACAGGCAACAGAGTGACTGCTCCCAGTGCTGTAGGCAGCTGCCCTTTCTGGAGATTTGGGAAAAGGCTGAACAGGATTACAATAACTTTTGCTTCTCTGATTGGGGAAACTCTGAATGTGACCCCTCTTCTGTGAGAATCACAGTTTCTCAGAGGTAAAACACAGGGTTATTCAGCCCTGGGCTTGATTTGCTGTCCCCCTTACTGAAGGAGGTGCCCCAAGTGCTGGGCTGGATTGCTGCTGATGTGCAGGAAAGGGGCTGGAGTTGTGCCCTGCTGTCCTTGAGCCCTGGGCTGTGCATGGGCACCTCACTGCTCATGCCCCCCTGCCTCCAGCATTTGCTTTAGAAAACATCCAGTGCCACCTAATTGCTGGGCTGCCAGGGGGAGGAGGAGGATGGAAAATGAGCTATTTCCTTCCTAGCAAAAATAAAATAATAGCAGAAATAATAATCATAATCTTCTTTTGATTATTCAGGATAAACAAACTTCCATAAAAATAAATAACTAGAGCTGCAGCAAAAACCTGGGGCAGCCTGGGATCTGACTTGGGCAGCTGAAGCTCTCAGAGCCCATCCTTGCTGATGTATTTACAGCCTTGAAGACACATTCAATCCAAGGTGTTTCCCCAGAGCAGGGCCATGTCGGCTTCTCATCTCAGACTGTACCTGGAGGGGAGCAGAGCCAGGGGTCTGTGCAGGGCAGGGACAGAGCAGGGCAGGACATTTACCCTGTGCTTCTGAAAGAGGCCCTGGCTGCCTCACAGCTCTCTCCTTTCTCCTTCTTCTTCCATTTGTCCTCCCAGCCCTGCTGAGCCCCCAGGTCCTTGGGGTTTTTTCAGAGGATGGTGCCTGGGGGAGAGGGGCACAACCCTCACTCATGGCCTGACCAGGTCCTGTTTGATTGGTGCTGTGGGTGGTGGCAGTGATGCTGTGACACCCAGGCAGGTGCCTGTTCAGCTGGAGCACAGGGCTTGGCTCCATCAGTGCTGATGTGTCACCACATGGCCACAGAATCCCCTCCAGCCACAGTGTGGGGGTTGTTGGGCCACTCCTCCCCAGTCCCCTTTGAATGCATTTATGGAGAGAGGTGAAACCACAGCCCCTCTCATCCTGTGAGTTTCTCCACTGCAGAAGCTGTGGTCTGGAACTGCCTTTTGTTGTGTAGCGTGGCCACATCTGGGGCCTTGCCGTGCTGGCACCACACCAGTTTTGAGCTTTTTGCAGCTTCCCAGGGTCTGTGTTTTGCTCTGTTTATTTGAAAGCTCCAACCCTGGAGCTGTCATCTGCTGTGCCAAAGGCGTCCCAGTCACGGAGAGAAAGTTTCAGGAGCACAGGATCCCAAGGGAGAGACACAGGGTGTGAAATTCTCCTGTGTGTATGGGGAGAACTGACACTTTTGGGGGCTGTGTCTGCCCCATCCCATGGGGAAGAGGCCCAGCAGCACCTAGGGATGGGTAGAAGGAATGAGAAAAAACAGGGAAACAACCTTATCTTGCTTTTCAGGGCCCACCGCAACGACATGGAGAACATCTTTCCCTTCCTCTTCCTCGGAGCCGTCTACTCCCTGCTGGATCCCAGTCCCACAGTGGCCAGGATCCACTTCCTCACCTTCTGTGTGGGACGGATCGTGCACACCATTGCCTACCTGCTGCAGCTGAGGGCACCCACCCGCTCCGTGGCCTACAGCGTGGCCCAGCTGCCCTGCTTCTCCATGGCCCTGCAGATCCTGCTGGCCACCACCCCGTACTGGTAACAGCCAGAGACACCCAGCACCCAAACCCCCTCATCCTGACTCTGCTGGGCCCCCGGGAGTGGGAGAGAGTGAGAGTGTGTGTGTGTGTGAGATGTCAGCAGGGAGTTCACCTGCACCCCGAGGATGTTCAGTGCAGCCTTGATGCCATCAGGATTTCTCAGAGGAGGCACCAGAGAGAAGGGAAATGCAAGAAGGGGATGTGGGGGCAGGTTTCTCTTCCTCCTGCTGAGGATGAGAGGTGGAAAGCACATGGACTCCCCCTTGAGGAATGGGGTCATTGAAGGGAAGGTTTCCTGAGTTTGGAACTGTGACTGTGACCTTTTCCTCCTGGTTGTGAATATCCCATGAATCAGGCAGAGAAAATCATGAGGGTGCCACAAAGTCTCTTAGTCGGCAGATGTTGTTGGTAGCAGAGGTTATAAAGCAGCCACCCTTCTCCTGCCCAGCCATGTGCATCTCTGAGAATGTCAGTCCCTTAGGATTTGGTCCCTTAGGTTCCCTCTCCACCAAGGAGGACAGGAGGCAGGTGCATTCCAGGCAGGCTGACAGGGAAGTCAGAATCTCAGGGGTGATGTTGTGAGGCCACTGGAGCATTCAGTGCTCCCAGTGCCACCTCATCTCACAGCACACAGCTCCCTGCCAGGAGCCCCACTGCAGGCAGGAGCTGGAGCTCCTGGCAGCTCCCAGCCAGCAGCAGCTGAGGCTTTTCCATCTCAGCCTCACCACAGCAAGATGCAGAGTGACGTGCCTGGAGAAGCCAGCAGGAATCCTTTACCCTGGACACACAGCCTGAACACATTTGCTGGACACAAAGTTCTGGGACTTCTGGAATGTCTGAAATGCTGGCGCAAAACAGGGGCTTTGCAGACAGGGTTTTCTCCCAAAGGGCAGTCTAGTCCACATGCCACTAAAACCTGAAAATGCCCCAGAGCATCAGACTGAGTTTCTCCCCCTCTGTTTTCAGCCCTTCTCTTGCCGTTGCTATGTGGGAAATGTGCCCTGATTGCCTTAGGGGAGTTTTCTCTCAGCTGTTTCCTGCTGTCCACTGCTGCCACGCCATTCACAGCCTGGAGCAGCTGGTGTTTGCAGAAAGCTCTGGAAATGAGCAGAGGGGCTTTGAAGGGAGCATTGCTGCTCTGCAGGGTCACCCAGAAGTGCTGTGTTGGACAGGAGAGGCTGGGACCAGGGTAGTGCATGGTGACAAAGGCCCAGGAGCTCCTCTGCCACACAGCTGTCCCCAGGTGCCAGGGGCTGCTCCCAGCAGCAGCAGCAGCAATGGAGCATCCCTCTGGAGGAGAAGGAGGAGGAAACCTCTGCTCTTCAGTGCCTCCTCCCTCCTCTGAGGGCAGCACAGAGTTTGAATAGCATCACAGGGGAAAGCCAGAATGAGTAGAAAAGAAATTCCCCTCCCACCTGTCCTGTGCACTAAGGCTGTTCCCTTGGCTCTGCTCTGCTCAGAGATCTCTTGCTGAGCACTGGGGACACACCTGCTCACACTGATGCTCAGCCTTTGCTCAGCTCAGGTAGAAGTTTCTGTACCAGTAACTCCATCCCAGTGCAGTTGTGGCCTCAGGCTGAGCTGTGTGGTGAAGGTTGGAGTGGAATTCTTTGCTCTCCCACTGCGAGGAAGGTGGGCAGGATTGCACGTTCAGCACTTCACTCTTGGCCACTTCTCCTTCCCACAGATGTCTGAGTTACACAGACTCCTCTTAACAAATCTTTTCTGCCTCACATGGTGCACAAGGTCTTGCACTCCTGAATGTTTCTCTGCTGCTGCACATGCATCCTGGTGGCAGGAAGCAAATATTCCCAATAAAAACAAATCATTGTGCTCTGATCCATCCTTCCTTGGGGAGCAGCAGATGCAGCTGGGCAGCAGCTGGGTCCAGCCCCAGCAGGATGGATCCTCAGCAGGATGTTAAACCCCACTGCAGAGCCTGGAGTGTCCTGGGACTTCTAGAGGCATCCCTTTCCTCTGCACTCGCCTGCCCTGCAGAGGAACCTCTTTTCCAGGTGTGCATTATTTGTGCTGATCCTTTAAATCCAGCAGAGCTGGGAATTATAAGCAGCTCTGCTCACTTTCCCTTCCCTGAGTAGCAAGCTTGGTGTTCACCCAAAAATCCTGGAGGGCTGGAGAAGCTCAGGTAAGAGGTAGTTGTTCTTCTTTCTGTTCTTATGACTCATAAAGGAGCTGCTTGTGTTTTCCAAGATAAGTAGCCCCTTTTTTTTTTTTTTTTTGCACTGGGTTGCTGGGAAACAAATGCTTCATTTCCCTGGTTTTCCAGTATTTTCTTCAGTTGTTGGTGCTTGGGAGCTGCTGCCCACTGGGTTGCTGGGAAACAAATGCTTCATTTCTCTGGTTTTCCCCTATTTTTTTTAAAGTTGTTGATGGTTGGGAGGTACTGCCCAATCAGTGTCTGTGTTAGTTTCATAAAATGGCTCCACTTGGTTCTTTTCTTACCCTGTTTGTTTTCAAATGAGAAAAGCAGTGGTTTTATAAAATGGACTCTCTCCAGTACATGTTGCTGAGGTTGGAGATGTGGCTGGGATGGAGATTTTGGCATAGGAAGGAAGAAGGGAAACTCCAGAACCCCCTTCCAATCCCCAGATCTGCCAGCTGCTTCAGCCTCTTCTCAGCTGCTTGTCCAGTGCCTGAGGCTGATGCCCTGCTCAGGGAATCTGAGGTTACATGCAAAGCTCTGCTTTCTCCTTTTTTATTAAAAAAAAAACAAAACTCTGCTTACTGGCTGCAGGGAAAAGCTTGGGAATGTGAACTCTCCTGGCTCAAAAAAAAACAAACACAAAAAGCCTGCAAGGCAAACTTAGGAGAGGCCCAAGCATTGCACTTATTTTGAAGTGTTGTGGAAGTTTGGGGGGAAGCAAAACCAAGCTGGGCTCGGTTGCTTGGGCAGCACCAGACCCATCAGGGCTCTCCTGGGAGCCACTGGCTCTCTCCTGGACACTGCCAGTGATTGCTGCATGTGAGAGGCATTCCTGCCTTTTCCCAATTAATATCTACAGCCCACAGCTCCCAAATTCCTGCTCTGGCATCAGTGTAGGCAAAGGATGTGCCCAGTGTCTCCTGCTGCTCCAGGAGAGCAAGGACAGTGGTTGCACCCCCCAGTCTCTGGGGTTTGGGGTGTGCTTTGAATGTCCAACAACTTGTTTTCCACACCTGGCTCAAACAAGAAGCAGCAACGCTGTGAAACCCACCTGGGACTGCAGAACAACAATCTGGTGCTTAAATGGGTACAAGCTGAGAGAGGAGAAATTTCAGTTAGAGATTAGGAAGAATTTTTGTGCTGTGAGGATGGTGGGACACTGGTACAGGCTGCCCACGGAGGCTGTGGATGCCCCAGCCCCGGCAGAGTTCGAAGCCAGGTTGTTTGAGTAACTTTGGTCTAATTCCATCTGTGGGTTGGTGGGTTGGGAGGAGGTGATCTTTAAGGTCCATTAAGGTGATCTTTAAGGTCCATTCCGCCCCCTTCTGTGGTTAAATGTGTGGATGTGATTCACACCACAGTACGTGTCTTTCCTCACGGTGTCTGGAGCTGGGAGAAGAGCAAGTGGAGCCCCGGCACAGGCTGCTTTCTCTCCCACACTCCTTCAGGTGCTTCAAGCCCCAGGATCCGTCCCACCCCTGAGCACAGGACACACCTCTCCCTTACCTGCCTGCACCCCTCCCTGGCTCTCTTGTCATCCAGACCATTCCCTGGTGGGACCTGGACCAAGATTCTCTCTTGGGCAGGTTACCTTTAACACAGATCACTCCAAAATCCCCATTCCCTCTAGCAGATGGGGTTTTGATACACAAATCCCTTTACTCCTCTTGAGGAACTGGGATTCCTGCGACTTGTAGAGAGAAATGAGAGGAGCCAGCTCTACAAGCATGAGCACTCAGAAATCTCCTGGAGAAGAGAGCAGCAGGGAAGCGCCATTCTCTGGCACACGAGGATGAAGTTGGCACCGGGAAAACTTTTTCCGGCAGGCGTTTCCTAACAGGGCTGTGGGGCTGAGCCCTGCTTCAGACGTGGGGCTCGGGATGCGGCCGGGTGCGGGATTGGTGCGGGGCAGCGCGGGGGGCTCGGGATGCGGCCGGGTGGGGCTCGGGATGATGCTGGGTGTGGAGCGGAGCGGGGGGCTCGGGATGATGCCGGGTGCGGGATTAGAGCGGGGTAGAGCGGGGGGCTCGGGATGATGCCGGGTGCGGAGTGGAGCAGCACGGGGGGCTCGGGATGATGCCGGATGCGGGATTAGAGCGGGGGGCTCGGGATGCGGCCGGGTGGGGCTCGGGATGATGCCGGATGCGGGATTAGAGCGGGGGGCTCGGCATGCGGCCGGGTGCGGGATTGGAGCGGGGGGCTCGGGATGATGCCGGATGCGGGATTAGAGCGGGGGGCTCGGGATGCGGCCGGGTGCGGGATTGGAGCGGGGCAGCGCGGGGGGCTCTCCCCGGGCTCCGCGGGCTGCGCTGCGCGGGGCTGCAGCACCCTCGTGTGGCTGCGGGACCCTGCGGGGGACACGGGGACCCTGCCCGGATCCTCCGCCCTCCCCTCCGTCTGCTGGGGGTGCACATGGAGTTGTTTGGGATGGATGGATGGAGGGTGTCATTCCTTAGGGAACTGGTTGAGGAGGAGGAGGCTGGTATCTGCTCCAGTGCCCATCAGCCTCTCCAAAACAGGCAGATGCGATGCCATTTCCAGGGAGATCCTCCCATCACCACAGACTTGCTCTTTGGGAGTCACCTGGTTGAAAACAGAGTGGTTTGAGGGAGGAAACAGTTTGTAAATATCCTTGCAAACCTTCCCTGTTTCTGAAGTTGTGGTGTATGGATGCAACGCTGTGCATCTCCATGCAGTAGCTCCTCCTTACACATGATAACTCTTCCTGGGTTTTGTGACACCAGCTACAAAAGGAACCTTTGCTTCCCCCCTTCTTCCCAGGTAATTATAAAGCATTACACCCCTGTGCATAGCTCCCGTCCAGCTTCTCTGCTGCCTTAGGTTGCTTCCCTGTGTGGTTGGAAAGAAGCAGCAGCGAGCAAAATATCTGCTGCAGGGAGGAGATGCTCCTTCCATATGGGATGTAGAGTTTAGGGTGAGCATCACGGCCCCCAGGACAGGAGCACTGCTCCAAAGGGCAGGAGGGGCTCTGCTGCTGGGAGGTGGCACGGTGCTGTCACAGGAACATGTGCTCCTGCAGTCTGTGGATGGTGCAACAACCATCTTCAGACCTTCCCGCTGCCACCAGAGGGAGAAGGGCTCAGCAGCACAAGGATGAAGGGAAAGGAGGATGCTGTGACCACGATATGTCTGTAATTCATTCTGGACAGGGATAACCAGGCGGGTGTCCCCGTGA